AGAGATGGCCCAGCCAAGATGATTTTTGAAGGACCTAACAAATTAAGCCCTAGAATTGATGGACCTCCTACACCGGGTTCTGTTCGGTTTGATGTGTCACCAGGACAAATGGGGGGAGGAGGCCCTATGAGATTAGAAGCACCACATGGTCAGTTAGGAGGTGGATGCCCTTTGAGATTTGAAGTTTCTCGAGGACCAGTAGCAACACCTCTGTGGTTTGAAAAGACAATTGTTCGAGGAGATGGAGGAGGCAGCAGTGGCAGCGGCAGTTTTCGATTTGAAAGTTTACCTAGTGTCAGTTTTAAGAGATCCACAGGTGATTCGGGATTTGAAGGATTTGGGGGTAAGTCTTTGGGTGATCTGAGGTCTGAAGGCCCTCATGGACAGCCTGTGGGTAGTCTTAGATTTGATAATCCTCGATGTCAGCCTGTAGGTAGACTTAGATTTGAGGGGGGTCATGGTCCATCAGGGGCAGCAATTAGGTTTGATGGTCCTGATGGTGAGCCAGATGGTACTATCAGATTTGAGGGCCCTTTGCTACAGCAAGGAGATGTAATGAAGTTTGAGGGTCCCCAATGTCAGTCTGTAGCTGGTCTGAGATTGGAAGGACATAATCAACTAGGTGGGAACGATATGTCTGAGGGACCACATGGCCGACCAGGGCTTGGGATCAGGTTTGAAGGACCTTTAGTAAAACAGGGAGGAGGAATGAGGTTTGAGGGTCCTGTACCAGGAGGTGGCCTGAGAATTGAATCACCTCTGGGTCAAGGTGGTCCCCGATTTGAAGGTTGTCACTCTCTAAGGTTTGATGGACAGCCAGGTCAGCCATCACTTTTGCCAACATTTGATGGAACACACAGCCAGCCAGGTCCTAGATTTGAAAGAACTGTTCAGCCAGGTCCACAGAGATTTGCTGGGCCACCTGGACAGCAGGTTCAACTGAGATTTGAGAGTGTACCTCAAAGATTTCATGGGCCACAACAGGAGCAAGCATCAAGACCTGACATTTTTATTGCTCTGCAAGGTACCCAACAAGACAATCATCGTTCACAAAGGCTTGAATCTTTCAATCAGACTGTCCCATATAATGACCCACTTGGCAAAGCTTTAAATGTTCCATCTCAAGGACTACAGTTCCAAAGACATGCACAAATATTTGATACACCTGAAGGACCAAATTTTAATGGACCTCATGGCTCTAGAAACCAGAATTTCCCAAATGCTCTTAACAGAGCTTCAGGACACTATTTTGATGAAAGGAATCTTCAGAGTTCTCAGTTGGGAAACTTGGGCAATTTACTTAGTCCAATGTCAGGAGGAGATATTCAGACATCTCAACAGGTTCTGATAGGTATTCCTCAGCCGGTAGCTTTTGGACAAGGACAACAATTATTACCAGTTCATGCACAGAATGCTGGAACTTTTATTCAAAATCCTTCAGGAGGTCTTCCTAAGGCATATCCTGATCATCTCAGTGAGGTGGATGTAAATGAATTGTTTACAAAACTGCTAAAAACGGGAATTCTCAAATTGTCACAGCCTGATACAGCTATAACACAGGTAAATGAGGCTGATACTCAGCCTCCCCCTGAAGAGGCGAAGGATCAGAATGAAGATCAAGATATTCCAGATCTCACTAATTTTAAAACTGATGAATTGAAACAACGTTATGACAGTGTCATACACCGGCTGTACACTGGGGTTCAATGTTCTTCTTGTGGAACCAGGTTTCCGACATCCCAGAGAGATGTCTATGCAGATCACTTAGACTGGCATTATCGGCAAAATAGAACTGAGAAAGATGTTAGCAGAAAAATCACTCATAGGCATTGGTACTACAGTTTAACAGACTGGATAGAATTTGAAGAAATAGATGATCTGGAAGAACGTGGAAAAAGCCAGTTCTT